ACAATTTGCAAACAAAACTAAGATCAAGGAATTCAATCCCCAAAATTACATACAAAAGCTAGGAATAGTAATTAAATATAAAGTACAAACCACACAACTAAGGTCATATTTGTTAAGAGAATGAATAGGCAAAATGGCAATTAACAAAAAACAATAGTAAACTTTTGTGACAATTTAATCCAAAACTAATCTATAAGGAATACATAAAAAAAAATTGTGTAGCGAACTCAAGTCGCAACAATTCGCAAACAAAAAGTGGTGGATGTGGCTTGATTTGGTCGAATAACTATCAATGATATTACCACCATAATGGGCAGTAGATATTGAAAAGCTACCATGTCGACTATAGTTTAGTCTTAAAATGTTCAACCAAAAAAATTTATTGGCAAATATAGTTAAATGATACATAATAGAACATAGCTAGTAAACTTACCATTCGCAAAACATGGTTGCAAGGCAACAGTTAGCGAATAAAACGCAACTTTCTCAAATCGCCGTTAACATTCTACTTTTTGGTTCTCATGCGTAGAAGCATTTTTTTTTTATTTCTATGTCCATTAATGTGGGCAACTCATGCAAATGGTATTAATGTGGTTTTATTTCTATAATTACGTTTGACAATAAGCCCGCAAGAGGATAGAGTCTTGAAAAAAACTAAGATAGGCCAATTAGATTAGAGTCATTAGACCTAATTAATCATTTTTGTTGCAAATAATCAAAGCTCAACCATGAAACTGCTTTATTTAAGTAACAGTAGCCAAGTGTTGAACCAACACAACCATCAACCAATTAAACGATTTAATAGCAGCAGAGAAAATTTAATACAATCACCAAATAGTATAATGCATACAATTACTAAAAATGATTCATTCCAATAAATTAACAATGAAAACAAAGAAGCAAGGATGCCGCTAGACATTAACCTAATATCAATCAATTTCAGTAAGATTTCATCAAATTAACCTAATTCCAAAATCCTCAAAACCCAGTAAATTAGCAACAAAGCAAACGGATGGTGCTGCGGGCATGGGGGATGGGCGTGAGTGTGTTTGGGCCGTGGCTGGTGGTTTTAAAGAGAGAAAGGTAGACAGAGAATATAGAAGAAAATTAAAAAAAAAATCTTAATAACTGAGATTCTCANGCCGTGGCTGGTGGTTTTAAAGAGAGAAAGGTAGACAGAGAATATAGAAGAAAATTAAAAAAAAAATCTTAATAACTGAGATTCTCAGAGAGAGAGAGAGAGAGAGATCTAGGGCTAAAATGGGAGGCAATTTGAAATCATTCATTGATTTAGGGCTAAAATTGGGGCAAATGAAAATCCATCGATCTGGAATGGAGAAAGAGAAGAGAAGACTTATATTCAATTGTTCATGTCCAGCTGAGTTCGAGACTTCGAGTAGCTGAGAGAGAGAGAGATTTAGGGCTAGATTTGGGGCAAATTAAAATCCATCTATCTGGAACGGAGAGAGAGATCATAGAGTTACATTCGATTGTTCATGTCCAACTGAGTTTGATTGCCTTGATGTGGATCTGGGTCAGGGGTGTGTCGCTGGAGCTCAAAGAGAGAAAGAGAGAGTTGAACTGTTCGAGACACAATTGAAGTAGCCGGAGACTTTGGAGCTGCCTAAGGTAAACTCGAACAGAGAGAATTTGGAGCTGCCTGAGTGAGTTTGAACAGAGAGTGTGGCGTGAGAGAGAAGGATGTTGTCGGAGAAAGTAACAGATTTGAACGTGAGAGAGAGAGAAAAAGTGTTCTGGAGAGGAGGAGTTCGCCAGAATTTCTGGAGAGAGTTGAGAGAATATTAATTTGAGTGAGTGTGTGCGAGAACACGTGAGTCCGTGACAAAGAGATTGGGCGAGAATCTCAAAATTGTTAGGTTAATATCATAGATCAGATTTAGACAAATTTATAAACGAACCACGAAAAATAAAAAGTTATTTTGTTTATTTTTTGACATTTGAATTATATGTTACTTTATTAAATGGACTAGTTATTGTTTGTGTCTGAAAGTACGGGGTAATAAAAAATAAAAAATAATAAATATATTTGTATTTATATCCAAAATCAAATCACAAACATAGAAAAGAGATAAATAAATTTAAACATTAATTTGTAGTAGAGGTGAGAAATGGTGGGCAACAGTGGTGGTTGTAGGTGACGGTGATGGTTGTAGTAGGTGGCAATGAACGTGGTGGCGATAGTGGGAGAGGCGATGGGGGTGACAGCGACGATGATGGTAGTGGCGGCGNAATAGGAGGCAACGAACGTGGTGGCGATAGTGGGCGTGGCGGTGGGGGCGACAGCGACGATGATGGTAGTGGCAGTGACGGCGATAGTAGTGGCTGTGGCGGTGGCAGTGGTGGTGGTGGTGGTAGTAGTAGAGGTGATGATGGAGCAATTTCAAACATTATTTTTTTTTTAAAGTATTAATGAGAAATAATTTTTTAGAAGTACTTTTAAAAAATTACTTTGAACACATCCTTAGGGACATATTTTTCTTATTAAATTTAGGATGTTAATATTAGCCGTTATATTAACTTTAAAGTAAAATTTAAAATAATTTCAACCACAAATAATAAAAGTCATTTTGTTTATCTTTTGAAATATGAATTATAAGTTACTTTATTATATAGATATATTTTCTATTTGTTTTTTTGGATATATGGTGGCTTAAAATTCCAATATTTGATATATCTCCATTATTGAATGTATTGGACATCGTTCAAAAAAATAAAATGTATTGGACGAAATAGCAAAAATAAAATGTATTGGACCGATAATTTTTGATTTTTTTTTAGTTAATATACATTAAAAATGTTGTTTTCATAATTTTCATAATATTTTAGTCTATATTATTATTATTTTTTTATTATATTATCGATTTGACCAGTGACGTAATGATTAAACTAATGACTTATTGATTCAGTTCTTTTGTCGGGTTGATATCCGGGCCAAATTTTAAAAATATGTTATTTTATGTTCAAAGGTTTCTTTTATGCTCCGTTTGATAAGAACGATGAAAAGTAGGAATGATGGAAAGTATGCACAATACACTTTCCTTCCTTTGTATTTGTTAGGATGGATGGAAAAAAAATGACTATTTTTTTTTTTTGTGCTGGCTAAGACTAAGGGTGACAATTGAATCGTGTCGTGTTAAATTCGTGTTGATTTATTACGGGTTTGTGTTGAATATTAGTCAAATCTAACTCAACTCATTTAATTAATTGTGTCATGTTGAGTTACAAGTTGACCTGTTTATTTTCGTTTCATGCTCGTGTTTGTGTTAACCTACATAAACTTTGAATAAAATTTTTTGCTAATATTCTATTTTCATTTAATTGAATACATGTTAATATTTTTTATGCAAATTAAAAGTTAACTTAAATAAATACAATAATAATAATAATAATAAGTAAAAATATCTTTTTTATATAATAATTATGTCGGTACTTAATAAATAGTTACAAATAATTAATATTTTTGTCTATAATACTAGTTAAACATGTTAGTTTTGTGTAATTATATAAACGAGAAAATAGAAAAAATACTTATTTTTAAATCAACGAGTTGATAGTATCAATTTTGAGTTTGATTGATTAAACTGAATATAAGCCTTTTATATTTCTTGTTCGCGTGTTAGGTCATTTTCAAGTTCGTGTCGAGTTATAATCAAGTTCGTGTAATAAAATTCGTGTCGAGTTCGAGTCGTGTCATCGTGCTAAGTTGAAAATTTTTACCCCTAGTTAAGATGAATTTTTTTTTAATTTATTTGTTATTTTTATTTTTTTAATATGTATATATATATTAGTATTGTTTTTTAATATGAAATTAATGTATACACAATATATATATATATATATGTATATATATATATATATATATATATATTAAAAGATATATAGATAAATAATATACATCTCAATACAAATAATTAACTATTTATCCACTTTATTTCCAATTTTGGAGGAATTAATTTTAGTGAGTTGAAAAGAAAGTTAATCCATTAACTTTTTTATCCTTCCTTACCAAACAAAATATTTTATTTATCCTTCTAACTTTTCATCTTTCTAACTTTCCATTCTTCTATTTTTTATTATATCAAACAGAGCATTAAGTTCGCAGGGGCAAGGGGGTTTATATGCTCTTTAATTTTGCATAGAAGGCTTCAAGAGTATCGGTTCATTTGATATGGTACAGCAACAAAGATATTTTTCCTTGCTTTCTTTGTCCACCTTTTTTCCCAGTTTTTCTGACGAACAAACGACCACTGTTCGACTATTCAACAAGGCACCGGTGGAAAATCACACGAAGATTATAAGAGCATCTCTAATAAGATTTTATATTTTAACTGCCTAAAAGTGTTTTTTTTTTTTTAACTGCTCATTTTTTTAATGTATAGTTTAACATATTTTAACTATTTTTTAAAATATTATTTCTCATATCTTGTACCTTTATTCAGACTATCAAAGGGAGAAAACACAAAATATAAACAAGAAAGGTGAAAAACGACAAAAGGAGAAAAAATATATTATAAACTTTTTATATATAATGTTATAGAGCATCACTGTAATAAAAATATATTTTACCTACTCTAAACATCTTCTGTTGGAACATATTTTTTTACCTTTCAATAACTAAATTTTAATTATTTTAGAGTTTGTCATCCTGTTGCACATGCTCTAAGTTGTGGTCATGGTTATTCTTCCATCTCTTCCCACCAAACAATCGTGACTCTCACCCCCTAATTTTCTATCCAACAAAGCTTTTTTTANTTTTTTTTTTTTTTTAACTGCTCATTTTTTTAATGTATTGTCTCACCCCCTAATGTTCTATCCAACAAAGCTTTTTTGAGTGAAATGTTTCAAATTAGCAAATATAGAACGACAGCGTTTCTTGCAGTAATGTACAGAAAAACAGCATTGCAAAGCCCTAACGCCCTGAAAAATTTACGTAGAGTGACTCCTAAGGAAATCCGATATCATAATCCTGTCATCTTTATTTATTTCCATAACTTGACAGAGCTGTCATGACTTGCAGAGGCAACCATACCGGTGACGGGTGACTGTGCCAAAGCAGCAATAATATTCTCATGGGCTGGAACCGTCATGCACTTATTCTCAACCATGTTCCACAGCTCCATTGACTGCAATGCAGTGAAAATGAGACACAATTATTGAAAATTATGAATTCGGTACAAGACTGTTGTACTCCACGCAAAAACAAGAAAAGAAAAAAAAGAAGTATGCAACTGTGACCAGCCCAGTACATATTGGCATATTACTTCAGAGGCCAAGGGAGCACTGCAGCTGAGTGCAAATGAATTAGTGAAGTCATTACAATCCAAGTCGCCTTTGAATTGGACTTGTCAAGCGAGCGAAGTAAACTAGAAGAACGAAAAAAGGTACACTTAGACCTATGGCTGGTGTCTCTACACTTTTGTGAGTAGCAACCTTGTTATAGGAAGAGTAAAAAAGAAATATGGTAGTTAAATCTAGTGCTAACAAGCACAAATGTATGACTCACAATTTGCTATATGTTATTACAGAAGCTGATGGCTGGGGGCTTCTGGTAACAAGCCTGTGATGATATCTTGTGATAATCATGTTTATTCATATTATTACATCCTCATAATGTTTACTAAAACTTTGGGTAAGAAAGTTAATATAAATTTATGAACTTTTACAGTCTATTAAAAAAAAATTAAAATTATATTTAATACTTTTTAAACATAAAAGATTAAAAATCGATATACTCATAAACAAAAAAATAATAATTAAAACTTCTTATTGAGAATTTGACTAATTATTATTATTTACAATTGACCTTAGTATGTTTTTATTATTTGAAAGTGGTATAAATTAATTTTATCAATAATATTTCTTTTATACATAAAATCATTGTAACAATCTTCCATTTAAGATCCTATTGTTTACTACATAACAAAACACATTTTTATATAATAACGAAATAACCTTACAATTTCAAAAAATTATAACATAACATCAATATGTTCAAAATATATTCGGATATGTTTAAAAGTTAACAATTATATTAGTTGTATCTAATTTGAGATTTAATTGATGGAGGCCCAATGGTAGGTTTGTGACCATTGAATAAATAGTAGAGTTTATTAAATATTAAGACTCACTATTATACTTAATGTCGCAATATATTAGGTCGTAAAATTAGGTTTCAATAACATTGTTCAAAAAGTTAATAATAATTAAGGTGGGGTCTATTTAAATCAATATCACCAAAACACAATATTAAGGTGGGTACAATTAAATATGTCTAAATTTTATTTCAAAAAATACATGTTTAATATGAAGAAAAAAAATTGAAGGGGGGGGGGGGG